GTTCTGTACATCTGAGACCAGGCCTTAGAGGGTGAACTCCTTCCCGGGAATGCTTAGTAAACATATCCCTTCAGAGTTACCACAATATAAATGTATATCGCCCTACTTATGCAATGGTTTAATGACATTTTCCCCAGCTCTGTAGTGACTGTTCGTAGCTTCGTGGGCCTTGATTCTCACACATTGCTTCCAAAATCTTTCACCTTCCCACTTTTATTATCTCACTCCTGCTGCTTTCCTTGATTTCATCCGTTTTCAAATATTTCAACCCCTGCCGGGGTAACCTATTCTTTCAGCCCTTGGGTGTTCTCAACCTTATCCAGTTACTTTTAGCTTGGTTCCTGATGCTTCGAAGGAGGTCTACTGAATCTCAGTGTGTTCCCTCCTGTTGAAAAGATTTACCAATCCGCTTTAAAATTCCAGGAATTGGTCCTTTATCAGAATATAAGGCAAAACTGTTGGAAAGTTTCAGACATTGTTTGAGAGAAATTGTAGACGGAGGAAATAGCCTTCCTTGAATTTCTGTCGAGAGAGATTAAATCATGAAAAGCAGCCGGACATCGCAGAGTGCCAATAAATAACAAGCAGACACGCATTTTTTATTCACGCATTTTCTGAGTAACAAATTGTCACCTATGGCGAACGACACTCAGATGGCAAGCCTAGCTGATGTAGTCAGTGCCAACAAATGCACATGCAATGGTACCAGCGGTGCATGATCAGTCCGCCCCCCTATTCCGATATCAGTCATTCAGTGTCAGGTCCACTACATCTAAACATGAGCAGTGCCCTTTTGCTCAAAGGTAAAGTGGCCAATATTATTTATACGTCTCATATAAGCTGTTTGAGTAAAACCGACTAATAGGAGATCCGTAGTTTCATTCCAATTGCATACAAATCTGAACACAATCTATTGCATGCAATTTGTAAGGTCTGTCAATTTGAATCACATGTGATAAATTAATTTACTGATTTGTATGCGCAGGAGCCTTTTAAATGGTCAAATTTAGCATCGGAATTGAAGGGTTACGGTTAATTCAACAGCTCTCAGTACTAAAAAGTTGACTATAACCGCCGAGCAGACACTTGAAACAGCAGCAGCAGCCAATGGAAGTGATGTATGCCTCGCAGCAATACCCAACCTAATTTATTCAATGAGGCCCTTAACAGTGCCATTCAAGTCAGACACCTACTTAGCAGCACCATACGTACGCTAATGGGTTCTCTTCTCCGTAGTTTCTCGTACTACTTTCCGTGGTGAACCCATTCCGATGAGGTACGTGTACACCGTCAAAACGAAACTGGAAGAACACTGCCGGTGACATCATGGCCCGAGCGAGCAGTGCTAAACGGATCTCTCTGACCCTGACTGTAAAACAAAAAAAACCCAACCCTCTCTCTCCCCTCCCCGCCTTGAGGTACGCACTGGACTTGGGAGTTGGAATGACTGTGGCCGTGTCTCCTTTCCCTCACCTCTTTTTCACCCTGGTTCTGTCCCCTTTCCCTCTTGCCATTTTCCTCGCTTGGGGTTCCCTGGATGTCCCCTACTCGTGTGTCGGTGCGTCTCTCCCCTTTCTCTTTTCCCTCTCCCCCTTTGTTTTCCCCCTCTATCCCCCCCCCTCCCCCCGCCTTACCCCGCCCCATTCTTTTTCCGGTGTCTCCTGTCGGGTGGCTTGAGAGCGTGGATGGTAGTCAGTAATGTAGTTCTGTTTAACCCCCTTCCTCGTTGAGGGTTGTTGCTCGGAAAGTGAACCAGGGTCCCAGCTTCGAGGGCTGCTCTCTGGTCTCACCGGGAGTCCAAGGAGGTTGATTTGTTTTTGTTTCAAGGCTTGCGGTTGGGCTCAAAGTTGTGGATGTATTGTTGTTCGTTTCACCCCACCCCCCCCGCCCCTTTCCATCGCTTTGCTCCTTGGTCATTGCGTCCCGGTCGGGGTGAGTACGGGAGAATGCCGAGACGCCTTTGTCCTTCCCCGATAAAAAAAAAGTCTGACATGATGCGGGCTTGAGACTCCTCAACCGACCTCCATTAATCACGACCAAAGAGCCCCCCCCACCCCACCCCCCCCCCCCCCCGAGGGTATGCTCAGATGCAGTGGACCTCCCCTTAGCGATGTCTGCGGTATAAAGTCCAGCCCCCTCAGTTGAAACAGCCCTCGGGGAGGGGGGGCGGTAGCCTGAAACTAAAACGGCGTTGAACAATCTTGAGTACATATCACTTGTAAACCCTTGATCTTGCGGCTAGGCATAGGCCGCTCTGGCAAACTGGAGGGGGATCACGGCGGCAGCTTCATGGAAACTCTGGCATGGCAAATATTGGAGCCCTCGCGTGATCAGAACATTTAGCCACAAGCTCGAGGGGGAGGGTGAGGAGCGAGAGAGCTCGCAGCCGGAGGGTCCCCGGAGATTGTGGTGGGCTGTTACATGCAGGGAGGTCGGGGGGGTGAGGAGGTGGGCACTTTGGGTGTTGATCCCCCCCCCCCTTCCCCCCTCTGGGGATAGACAGGATTCAGTCACCGCCCCGTGGGACTTCTGAGGAAGACGAGTAGATTCAGGCGCATGAAGGCTTCCCCATACTTTTGTCCCTTAAAATCATTTTCCAGTCCCTATATAACAACCTCACCGATGCTCCCGCTCGCAGTCTCCCCACGTGTGTGGGGCAGTGAGCCCAATATCCTCCCCATCTATGGACCCAGGAGTACAGAGGCCGGGCCTCAGTCCGCAGAGTTTTTGTACCCACCCCCCGTGCCTTGTACTAGGCTCTTATTTTGTTGCAAAAAAAAACAAACTGATATAAAAACTCAACTAAAATTACTTCATCAGTACCAAGGCTCCCACAAGTTTAAGCGGAAGGGCGTGTGGCATAGTTTAGCATCAGCTATCATAGAGTGTGATCGTGTAGATACGGTTCTCTGCAGTGAAAACAATGTATTTAAAAACAATGGCGCTATGCCCCTATAACTAAAATTAACGCTGAACCGGTTACAGGTTCCAAGATTCAGGGGTGAACGGGACACCCACCCTGCAACTTGCAGACGCCTCGGAACGGGAAAGAGTTAAATTGCGATAGAAATCCACTCTGGCCATACGTATTATTAATGCCTTTGACATCTGTTAACAGGTCATAACACGTATATTAAGAATACACACAAACTACATATAACTTTAGCGAAATGCAAATTCACTGCTTTTAAACCATTAAAGACGAATATGTAATACTTATACTCTTTGCCACAGTCCATATCGGAGAGTGGGCTCTGTTTAATCCTAGCAGTGAACCATTGGCTATGGGATGTGGTCTTGATGAAAGCTTCACCATACCATTGGGAGTGAGAAGTTCCATAAATGTATGAGATATGTTTTAGCATTCGAACACTGTAACGTTAGAGTATCTGTATATTTTAACTTTCACTGGAGTAGAATGAAGTTTTATTTTTTTTTCTCCCCGATTTAAATGCTGCTGAAATGTTATTACGAAGATCACCTTTGCCCCCCACCTGGCTAGAAAGACATAATTAACCCAGTACACTTAATGTGTAATGTTTGCAATTCATGCAACAATTACCTCCAAAATTCAGCAAATAATTAAGCAAAATTTTTTTTAAACAAAAGTTAGTATGATGCAAGTTTAGTTTTCTTTCATTAAAATAAGCTAAATCAAGCCAAAGTTATAACAAAGTGTCTCCATGATAAAGGTTTTTGGGTAAGATCGCGTTATTTATAAATGTGTCGTAACCCTCCACCACCCGACACAGCCAATCAGCAAAAAAGTGTCACGTTGACAAAAGACAAATAGTTCACTACTTTAGCCCACCGGTGTGTTGAAGAGTGAATGCACAACATTTACAGTTTGAGTAGGGCGTTTCGCTGGTAATTACATCCAGCATCATCGGGAAATTCACCGTTCTCATGATCAATCTTGTCCCTGACATCCTTGGAAAGCTCTTTGGTCTTGGCCATGGTGGAGAGTTTGGAATCTGATTGATTGATTGCTTCTGTGGACAGGTGCCTTTTATACAGGTAACAAACTGAGATTAGGAGCACTCCCTTTAAGAGTGTGCTCCTAATCTCAGCTCGTTACCTGTATAAAAGACACCTGGGAGCCAGAAATCTGATTGAGAGGGTGTCACATACTTATTTCCCTCATTAAAATGCAAATCAATTTATAACATTTTTGACATGCGTTTTCTGGATTTTTTGTTGTTGCTATTCTGTCTCTCGCTGTTCAAATAAACCTACCATTAAAATTAAAGACTGATCACTTCTTTGTCAGTGGGCAAACGTACAATATCAGCAGGGGATCAAATACTTTTTTCCCTCGCTGTACAACCGATTAAAAAAAATGTTAAACACAGGTGTGCACAACACCTGCTCACAACCGTTGGGCAAGGGCCCACACATGACACACGCTGGACTACAAGTGCAAGCACCTTATCCCAATTAACCTCCTGTCCAAAAGCTGGCAGGGATTTTGAAGGCTTTTTGGATTTTTTCAAAACCAAGAATAGAGGTTTAAACTACCTTCCAAGAGAGAATTGGTACAAAAAAAAAACCTATCCACGTGGGACGGAGATGAGAGAAATGTGGCAACGTATGAAAAAAAGTTTCCCAGTAATCTTGACACACCATACAGTAATCCCTTTAGCCTTATTATACGCAGACACTATTCCCGATCAACAAAGACAAACTCCAACTCAACCGACAACTACCAATCAGGCAGTATTTGTGCATGGCTCCATTTTCCCATGGCAGAAATATGCCGTTGAATCATTGCAATTATAATATGCTGCGCTACGATACGAAATTAATAACGTTCAAGTTGTACTGCATTTCTACATTTTAAAGCATCTTCAAAGCATCTGCTGAGCACTGCATCAATCAATATGAAGGTTATAAATATTGCTCAAGGGATAAGCAACATGCAGAATGTGAAACAGATTGATTTTTTGAATTGTGACCATTAATCCGTTCGCATCTCATAAGTTGCGCCATAAAAAACAAACCTGTATCTTGACGGGCCACGTGAAGTTGCTGACGTAGACGTAGAAGGTGATGTTGGGGTTTCCTCGAAAGTCAAACTTCTCGTTTGAAAAGGAGCTTTTGTATTCACGGATCTGAGCCTTCGAAACGATGAGCACCTCTTCGCCCATCATTGTGCCCGCTGGGGAACGCACACAACACATGCGCACAAGCAAATGTCGCGCACGGTCATGTGCATGGACAAGAAAAACGCAAGTGCATGTTTGCATAGGAACGTAAATGCACGCGTATGCACGCCCAAAAACTCTCGTGTGCGTGCCCACGCACGGGTCAAACAATAACACGCCAAAGCAGGCGTGGATTGAATAGCGATGCAAGTTTTGATGGCCAACAATGAAACGTGACAATAACGAATGGAAAATTTAAACTGGGAATCCTTCATGAACACAACCCTTAAACCGTTACAGCGGATAAAGTATGTTTCAAGCATGTAACGTTTTTAAAGCTCAACATGTATCAAGAAGCGCGAAAATTAGTTGTGTACGGCCTACGTGGCAATGAGTATGTGCGAGCATATTTGTGCACACGTGCATTCAAATTGCGAGGACATTTTAATTTGCATACATACTCAGCAAATATAGAAATCCACAGAGTAACGTTTAACTTGATCAACTTATTCTTTAGCATTTGACACGGCCAGAGATTTAAAAAGTGCTGCCCATCTGCTCCCCCTTATCCTGAAACTCCTGCATACATTTTAAAACGTGCTGGGAATCCTTGCACAAAGAAATTATTGTCGACACACTGCCAGAAGTGTAAATGAGTTTGCTGTACCCCGGAGTATTGAATGAATAATGTACTCTCTAGAATGCCACCCATAAATTTGATGAGAACTATTTAATGCGAGTTAAAATAACACAATGGAAAAACCAAAACAGGGAGGAAAATTCATCTGCAGAGTATACCGATCTTTCATAAATTTTCTTCCACACCAAAAAGAAGAAAGCTTTAAAATTGCAAATTAACTTAAACCGGAATTTAATCAAGCATTTGCACAATGGGGATTAAAGAAATGCAGGCCAAAAATGTCTCAAATGGGCTCAAATTATATTTTACAATCGAGGCATATGAAACCTCGTTCGTGACATCACAACGCTCCACTGCCAGTTCTCACGAAACTAAATGCAATGAGTGCACGCAATTGTGACGCTTAAAACAAATCGGCATGCACCATTAGAAGTGATTCATGTAGCAGTTCATCATTTCCTTAGGATAATGCGGTAAATGCTGTTTTGTTTAATTTGTTCTTAGAATAACAAAACACGGTTATACGCATTAAGGGTGAAAGCGGTAATTTTCCACTTAAAATATCACCAATAACATCGTTGTGCGTACAGGTAGAACACAGAGTCATCTATTCCTAATGGAGTTGGGGGGGAAAACGGCGAGGATTAACGTACTCGTGCTCAGCAATCTGGCTTCGGGACGGTGCTCTGGCCGAATTACACTAATGCCACACACACGCCCTCGCTTGTGTCACGATGCCAGGAACAATTTACTCGGCGCATCAACGCCGCTTCGAATACAAGCACGGTTAACTTCCAGAGTGCAGAACGTATGAACTCGTCAAAGCGGTACAAAAGTCCACAATTAAAACTCTGCACTCATAGCAACAGTTGCGTACGTGTTACTTCATTAATAATTAACGTAATTCATTCAATGCATTGCTTTAATTGCGTGACGATTCACAAGCGATACATTGATAATATAATCGTCAGTGTGTGTATATCGTAAGAAACATAAATGTATGATGGTAAACCAAAAATATTACTTAAATGTTATGAAAAATATTATTCAAAGCCAAAAGTACCATTATTGAATGAGGTCAACTATAAAACATACCATGCATCCTGGATGTTAACTGTAAATGTTAATTCAGTATACAACAGTGCAAAAATACTCACGCGGCGTATACCAATGCCTTTATGATATATATAAAAAAACAATAGAATATCTGAAAAACTACACCGTAAAAACATGTTTTGATGACAGAAAATAAGTAAACATAATATGACAAGTTCAGAAAAACCCAAGGAGTGCGTAGTGTTCATTTATTTGGTGGCTTCACGACCAAACGTGCCCCCAACCTCCCCCTTACCTGTGGAGCCGGAAGACCAAGTGATATTGAGGTTCACGTTCTTGGATGTGTTGATGAACATGTCGAGGTCTCGGTTTGACTGCAGAATCACAGACGGCAACAATTGTCTCACAATCATCCTTTTTGTTTGCAATACATAAAAAAAAAAATTATAGATCTATATCACCCACATATCAATGGCGGTTGAATTAAACAGCCGTGTGGATTGCTGCCATGCGGTAAGGGACGTATTCATGATCGCTATCTATTGTTGGGACTTTAAACGTGGTTGGCGGACAAGAGAGAAACAGGAACCCCTTTTGGCATAACCGTACAAACAAAAAATAGAATCACATCTCGTTTGGAAAACAGAGGCAACAAAAACACAGATTTAAAAAAAAGGAATGGCGCTCTTTAGAGAACAAACCTTTGGCTTCAGTGTGCACACAGCATATATACGTCAATATATGTATGCACATACAACACAACTGTTTACTGTTAAAGCTCCGTAAGCAAGATAGATACGGTCCTTAAAATTCATCCACATGGAATACATATGAAGATACCGGGAATAATATTGTAACTTTCAGGATTTATATTGCAGTGTATCAGCTCTTCACAAAAACATTAGCCTTCAGAATTCAAATTATTCCCCGTTAAATTGTAATCGTTCTTAGTGCATTAAAACTGCACGCGAGTGGGGGGGGGGGGGTGTGGTGGTGGATGCACTATGTATGGACACCGTGTCAAGGATTTACAGAGGGGGAGTAATCCCTTTTCTTCAGCTCATCGTTCGTTGACGGCGGGATAACAGTGCCACTGACGGGAAGGATTAATTTAAAGCTTTGTGCATCTGCACGAATCACACGGACGGACGCGGCTGGACGTACGCCGCTCGGGACATATCTCGCAAGCGGTCACGGCGCATCCCAGGTCGGAGTTTCAGAAGCTAATGAACTTCGCGAGACAGCGCGTAGGTAAAGCCAAGCCTTGCGCGGATCTGACGAGGTGCCCCCCACACACACACACACAAAGCGTGCCTGATGCCAGTGGCGGTGGAGAGGCATCGCGCGGGGAACTTAGCCTTGCCCTTTTGCTCCCCAGGCCCGTGAGGGAGACCTAATTACTGCTAATAATAATAATACAATTATAAGCAGTCGGAGCAATCCGACAGGATTCGTTACCGTCAAATTTGCCCCTCTGGATTATTTTGCTTGACGGCGCAAAACAAGTTCGTTTGTGGCAGTGAGCAGGAAAAAGGGGGAGGTGCCGTTTCCAGGGCAATCTCATTGCCGCTATTTTTTCTGCCAAAGAAAGCAAAGTATTATTTTTTTTCGAAACTGCACATATGCCTGCCTACAACAAATCCCCGTTTCGTATTTTATTTTCTGCTTGCCATTTCCCAAAACCCATGAATGTGATTAACCGATATTCCTCACGGGTTTCTATATTTATTTAATGATTGATATAGTACGTTTGACATGTGGTCAACGCACGCAAGTAAGCAGTTGCCAACTGTTGTTTTGAAGATCGGCAAGTATAAATTTATGTAATTAATGTGAACAAGATATGCACATTTCTGATGCTTTCGTAAATATGTTTTGCATTCAAATTTACAAGTCTATGTTGAGCACATTTAAAAATCAGTGAACAGCCGTTGAACATAATAATAATAAACATGAGGTTATGTGCTGCTGCATCAAAAATAGATGATTAGTTAAAGACTGTCACAGAGGTAAAATAGTGTAGACAAATACACTTACAAGAGGGTCAATTAAAAAGGAGACTGAAAACTGCATAGACAGATTCAGAAAGATGAATCACACTGATATGGTATGACATAAATACCCGCGTGGAATCATACGAACACCGACGATGAAATTCACAATCGTAATTATCATGACGTCATTGTAAAACATGCGACAGCTCTTTATCAACGTGGCAACACCAATAGTGCCATCCATCGCATTCGTAATCTGGATACGGTCTAGCGCCCCAACCACTTAGTGTTCGTTGCAAGCGCGCATAAAACACTTTGTCAATAAGGTTATCGTGGTAGCGTTGCGTGAGCCAAAAGTTATTCGCATTCTGAAAATCAACTTAAGATATCTTTCGTTACGGCGTGGAAAGGAGACTCCTGAAAAAGGAACGAAAAAAATGCTCTCTTCCTTCCTTACTTTAGCAGCATGAGCAAGTCACAAACCGCAAATTTAACACGTAGGCTTTTGTGACCAATATTATTTTTTATTTAAATGCATACCCACAAGATTTACAATCGAGTACGACGTTTCGCTGGCGATCGCAGCCAGCATCATCAGGCAATTGCTCTCTTAAGACACCGGTGTGCTGAAGTAATAATAATACCACAATTTATAACGCGCGCAACGTTGCGGACTGAAGACGCAATTGTGTGGCGCGGAGCTGAGCTCAGCGTCAGATCGTGTCGCGCGGTTCCAGGGAGACTCGGTGGTTAAACGTCGAGCTGAAGAAATGCGCCTTTTGATGGCTTTTTAACAAAGAAACGTATTGATCTTTATGGATGTGAATAGGGAGGGATGGCGTTCCAGGTGACGGGGGGAGCTGCGACGAAGAAACAACGAGGACCATTTTCTACGCTTCGTTGAAGTCTGTAAGGCTTTTAGGACGCGATAGCAGAGGCAAGCGGTCTTGAAGGTAATTATGGTCTACATGGGCAGCCAATGAAAGGCACGCATGGATGTAGAAGGGAGTCAGGGCGAGGGTTGCAGGGGCCAAAGTAGCAACAAATTGGCACGTTTAATTCACCTGACAAACTTCACCAATTGGCTGTGTTGGGCTGGAGATGGGTGCACAATACATTTACATGATCTAACCCAAAAACGAGAGGACCTTCTTTTCTCTACCTTACAATCTCTCCATGTTAACACGAATCCTAGACTCCACAATGCACTAATTAACCAAAGAGGCGATTCTAGAGTGACCGCCATATTAAAAATTGAAGTACAATGTTTCAGCTAAAGCTGCCCCCTCTCTCCCTCCCTCACCAACAATAAAAAAAATCATAAATTGAATATTCCAGTTGAGGGCATCTTCCAAATAAATAATCTAGCAACGACACTGAAGGCCAGGCAAGCCATGCATGGTTAAATATCAAGATTGTGGCCATATTAGCGGCAAAAGTCACGTGCAGGGCAATGTCACTTTTGCTTTACAGAACACTTAATAAGCTGTTGTTCAAAAATGTCTGAGTGTTTTCAGATTAAACTTCGTGAAATGTATCTGGGCAAACGGCGTTATTTTAATTACACTGAAACAATGTGAATGATGCTATGCGCAGTGCAATTTTTAAGAAATTTTGGAAGGCTGGAAAGGTTCCATAACTGGTGTACATGGCCCAGACTTGAACCCGGGATCAAGGCAGAGTGCACTAGCGGCTGAGCTATCATTGTCACGCGTGCACGCGCACACACACTCGCGCGCACACACCAACACGGCAAGAGCACTGCTGGACAAGACCAATACCCACCTCCTCCGGCGTGGCCATGAAGTTGATGGAGGTGTAATGTTTGTCGTCCTCCAGCGATAGGCTGAATGTGAACTGATAGTCAATCAGCAGGCTGTCTGCAGGAGCCAAGTGGCAGGGGGCACAGGGCAATGTGCACCATTAACAAGAGCACGTGCACAAACTGGCACGCACACACAGATATACATATACACAAAGCGATGCAAATAAACACAAAGATCTCCCTTGCATCCTTAACACGGGCACGTGCTGTTAGCGAGCACCTATTGAGGCCAACACGGCAAACAATGGGAAGGACGGCCAAGTACCACACCCGGCCGCCTTTGTTTCCCTCGCTGCAATAGGTACTCATTTGAGGCTGAGCCGACCTAGGGGAGGCCCAGGGCTGGTTCACATAAATCGTCACTGGTGTTGGCCGTGAGCAGGAATCGAACTCGGGTCGTTGGGGTTTGATAGCGCGCTGCTGCACGACCACTCCCTACTACAAAAAAGGGATAGATATGTACGCACGGGCAAAATCACCACTCGACATACACTTATGTACTCGTTGGTACACACACACATGGCTATGCACAAGAATCCACAAAACAAGAATCCACAAAACAAGAATCCATTGGGTGGAATTTGAGCGAACTGACATTGCTGTTTTTTTCATCTCCCGCATCGACTTTTTTTTCTCTGTGTCGAGGGAAGTTTATTTTTTATGTTCCACTTTTCTGCTAAGAAACCTTCAATGTTTGTATACACATGGGACCTTTTTTATGACGAGTCCACTCATTAGGAATAAACATTGGCCTTTACTTTGCTCGAAGGTATGTTTCAGCCATGAATGCATGCAACTCTGCCCACATTATTACACAAATTATCTCAAAACTCCAGTCTGTGCTTAAAGAAAAAAAAAACACCTCACATGAGCTAAAGTGAATCCTTAACAAGTCCATGCAGAATTTAAGCTGACACCATGAGAGTGAAGTCAACATTTTATAAGATTTGGTGTATTGCAAGAGACACGGCTGTCCAGCCTATCGGTCTTTAACGTTATTAACATGTTTATATTTCGTCAACGGATTCAACGTTCTTATTATTTCACGCGGCTATTTTGCATGATCTGTTTAAAGACGCTCCGCTTCACAGACCCAGTGAGCCGGACTCCACCGACACGCTGGGGCAAACAGGCAGAGCTCCCGGTCATGCTTGAAACACAGTGTTACCAGCCAAACAGTCAGAAGCACCAATTAATTAGCATCAGCTGCCTCCGCTTGTGTGTTATCTGATTTCATTACACTCACTGTCAAGGACTTCGTCAGGTCAACCTTAATTAGACGCTGCCAAGCGCTCAACGCCGGGGCCTCCCCTGACAATGCATGATTTCGTGATGAGTCTTTGTCATGCAAGCTGCACACATTTGAAAGTACAGCAATAAAAAATGCACAGCACCCCCCCCCCCCGCCCCATCCCGTCCCTACATTTAAGCGCCACGCTGCAAAAGGCCCTGCCCATAAAATAACAAGAGCTTATCTGCGCGAGACAACACACGGGCACACGCACGCATCTCAGGGAGGATGTTTTTCTCTGAAGAGTGGCTCCAATCCTCGTTAACGAAAAAAAATGGCAACATGAAACATAAGTTGACAAATTAGAAAGATAGAATATAAAAGAATAATAATTTTCAAAAGGTGATTGCGTGTAATTTGTAGTCTTTGGTGGGATACGGTTTTAGAAGGGCTACACATGAAGACACGAAGAAACCAATCAACAAAATATGCTTGTCTACAATACTGTTTGAAGAGATCCTTTCAGAAGAACGCTCTATACTGCATGTGAATTTTTTCTGCGGTTTGGGAACTACTGGAACAAAGCAGAAAGCACGCACTGCATTTACATGGACACGTGTTAAGGAGGAGCACTGCTTTTTTACGCACACAACAAATACACTTACAGTAGCAGGTGCCCTTCAGAGGATTTCCCAGATACCGATTGTCTATGTCACACCTGAAAGAAAACCAGACACAACAGCAGCTGTTATCCCATATCAAGCCAGGCAGTGGACATTTGCAGAAAGCACCAGTCACAAAATGTTCACCACATTTAACACTTGTGTATGGTGGCAAAATTTATCACAATTTTCAAAATGCAGCCCGAGGTTTGCAGCTTATGCTGTGGCGTCCACAACAAGGCTTGGAGATGTGTGATATGTGCAACACGGACGTTGCCGTTTCATGAAACCTTTTCTTGCACCAACGACTGACCAAACTTGTACGTGGCACATCGTCATCCGCTTTCAAGTGTTAACCACTCACTTACGCCATTGGTGACTTTGACAAGCCTTCAAATTTAAGGGCACAGATCCGTAACAGTTACAGCGCACCATGCCAACCACGGCTACTGCCTTGAGAAAGTTTGGGTGTCGGTGAGTTTGGAACGTCTCCACGCGATGGCCACTTTTAATTAAACGTCACTGCCACGTAAATTCTCAAGACAGCAGGCTCCAGATGTTCCGCAGATCTCAAAAATAAATAGCTCGGACACACCGAGAAGCGACGCGCTGCAGGAAGAAGCGTCTCTTTAATTAAACGACAATAAAAAAAATGTTAAGAGAACCTTTCAAGTGTCTGTTCTCGATAACGGGTGGTGCTGCACATGCCAGTCCACACGCATTGCGTCAATGTGTCCGTTGGGAACAGCCGAGCCGTCCGGACATCACAGCCAAGCTAATTTTCAGGTGTTCAAAATTAATGTAGCAACTTATTCGATTGACATCGGCCACAGTGTGCTCTCATATAAGACACTAGCAAACCTGCACATCCTTTGGACGTCACTCTCCCTCCTTCCAGCCGGTGAGCCAGCAAAACTTTTTGTTTCATAATATAGTAGGATAGCATATACGTGTAGGTTGAGGGTGATTGGAGGGGGGGAGGCGTGACATCAAAGCGATGCACGAACCTTGCTCGACACTCTTGGATGGTGGTAATATCATGAGGCAGATGAATAAGAAAACTGACTAATATCACCTCCATAAAAGGTACACATATTTTCAGTGTTAGATTGATAAATTCAGTGATTTTTACCAGTCACTTAAGGCATGCAAAAATCTCACCAGGATAAAACATGAATTAACAAGCATTTTACACAGACGCACACACACACACACCAAGTGACACATTTTTCCAACGGTTTGACTTTGAGTGTAGATGCCTTTTGCAAGAGGGCAAGAGAATAATCATAACATAATGCAAATTTACATGCACAACAAATGTCAAAACTTTCCATTTTCCATGAAGGCAAAAGTTTCCTTAGCCATGACAAGTGTAAATCATTAACCGAACAAAAATGTTGATTTTAACTATCTGTACCTCCATCAAGAACAAAATTCCAGATTTTGTACTTGTCCCCCCCCCCCAGATAATGAGAATCAGACCAGTTAATACCATGAACCAACAGTCTAAGGGTTATAACATGATAGCAAACAATATCAAATGCTTTCAAGAGACCATGAAAGACAAAATAATGTAAGTGTTATCTAAATAGTCAGAAATAGTATGGAACACTGTAGAGCTTTCAGTAAGAGTGCTATGGCCAGATCTGCGTTCCTGATTGTTTCGAACTTCGTAGAGTTGGGACAATGAGTTGATTAAGTTGATTGTGGAAACCACGTAAAGGCTCCACCCAGAGTGATGTGGTGATGTGGCCGGTGACATAACTAAGCCTCACCTAACAGGTGGGTAACAAAGGTGAGACTATTATCCAAATATTTTCGTGTTTTTCGGTTCGTCGAGTAATCAAACTGAACATCGGCAGAGAAACCGATTACTTGAAGAATCAGAAACCTCAGTAACTGATTATCCTCCAGATATAATACAAGTTGTTTTTTACAAAAAAATTGGAGGCAAATTGCGATGCTTTTCTATGGGTGCGCAATGATTTGGATTTACCGCATCAGTGCCTTTGTTTGGGAGGCGCATGTGAGATAATTACCAGTTATTTGAGAAGACTTTGATGAAATTAGCAGATTTAAAAGATGCCTTCCTGGGATATCAATGGAGCGTAAGATAGCTTTAAAAATAATTGTGAAATACTATCAATGGATTTAGTGACATTCAGGCCATTCTGGACATCCAAGCTGCAATGCTTGGATGTCCAGAAATGTACAGCATTACTTTGATGGGCGTTGCATTGTTAAAATTAAACTATAAAACTAAAAACTTTATATTTTACCTGGTAAGGCCCACTGAGAAATATAGCTCTTTTTCAGAAGCAACCTGGCCACAAATGCTAGCTCAATGAAGTGGCTTATCATGTGGAAATGTATAGCAACCAAATACTCGATACACGCATGTTTCTAATATGGAGGGAAAAACTGGAAGACACGGGGAAAAATCCACGCAACCACGGGGAAAACATGCAAATTCTAAATATAAAGGTGTCAGGGTCGGGGTCAAACCATTGGTCTCCTGTATACTGGGCGAGGTAGTTAACATCTCGCCAATGCGGCACACTCAAATTCGCATGCAACAGATTTACTTCTAGATTTGAAGCTTTCGTGACTGCAAGGATTCATACTCTTTGGTTTTATTCGGTAAAGTCACGTAGGTAAAACGAATTAAAATAAAATAAACAATTAAAACACGACGTTTCGGAGGCAACGCAAGCTTCCGTCTTCAGGTGGGACCAGTCACAGCCAAAATCGCTGCACCAAGTGGCGAGGCTCTGGGAACCAGAGCCTCTGGTTCCCAGAGCCTCGCCACTTGGTGCAGCGATTTGGGAACCAGAGCCTCGCCACTTGGTGCAGCGATTTTGGCTGACTGGTTCCACCTGAAGACGGAAGCTTGCGTTGCCTCCGAAACGTCGTGTTTTAATTGTTTCTTTTATTTTTATTTTTATTCGTTTTACCTACGTGACTTTACCGAATAAAACCAAAGAGTAACAGATTTACTGTTCAGCCTGTATTCGGAGGCGCTAAATGTTGTTTCAACCTTGTGACGCGCTGCACAGCATTCACTCGCCGCTGAAGAGACTCGGAGGGGTGTGGAGGAACCACAGAAGTGGGAAGGCAGCAGCCACGCGTTGAGCCGACGCCAACAATTTGCCCGAGTGAACCTATGGATTACGGAGCAATGCTCCCCACCGTTGCTCAATGAGATATATTGGTCACAGCAGGGGCGTTGAGCATTCTTTAAAACATGCGCGGAACTGATTCTGCCCGATGGACGAAACCTATACATTAACCCCTGTACCACTTGGTTCAACGTCTACAATGAAGAGTTTCATGGTGGGACCAATAATGCCTGAACCTCACACATAAATGCCAAAAAAAAAACACATACAATACACAGGCATGCACACACACACAAGGGAATTACAGGACTTAATAAGCTTATAGGGGAATTAACCAACTAAAATATCAAAAGCTTCTCTCTCTTGACAGGGAATTTTTATTTTCCTTTTTCCCTAAAGGTTGCGTTGTTAATCATGATTTGCTTAATTCGAAGACACAATGCTCTTGCGAATCTATCAAATTAACACGCCTTCAAAACATGTGCCCGCGTTGCTTCTCTTTTATTCCGCAGCAACTGCCCCCCCTCCCAGCCCAGCCGTACATGGGGAGCACGCCCATCACCAGATTTCACAGCAAAAAAAAAAATTGGGAGCGTTTTTTTTTTTTTTGCACATGTGTAACTTGCAAAGGGCAAACACCGCCGACTGAATAAGGCCAGGGCATTCCACTCGCCGCCATGCCGGACGCCAGCGGAGATGGATTTTCGTACACAGCACGGGAGCCAATCGAAACCAAAGCAAGACACGGATGTGCGAGCCAAGAGGAATAATTACACCAAGTTGGCTCCACGGTCGCCTGTGTCACAATCCCCCCTCCAATAAATCTTTATCAGCTTCTTAAAAGGGAGGAAGAAAAATACACCCCCCCCCCCCCACAAAAACGCTACTGTTGCCGGATATAATTTCAGATAAACACCTGCGCAGACAATGGACCGCAACTGAGACCTTTCCATGGCCCCTCTCTCCTCGTTTTATCTATCCCTGAGCCCTCAATTCATCTTCCCTTGTCTATAATCTCACAAAAACTGGCACACGGCTGCTGGAAAATGGGCGCAACAACATTAATACTGGCCGAGCAGCGGTGGCGGGCAAGTGGTGCTCGCATTAAGCGGCGAGCAAATCTTGGGCGAACGAAAGGCAGGACTAGACAGTGAAAATCAAGAACGTTATTCATGGGCCTGGTGGTGAGTGGAACTGGGAGGAGAACGTGGGAGAGGGTGGATGGATTAATCTTAACATGATGCACCCATACCAGAAAGGTACATCACACGAATAAATGCCAGGTTTCAAAGTACCACACAATTGTACTTAATTCAAAATCGTACAAAGGTGTCTGAATTGCTGAGGGTAAGTGCATTTTACCTCTTGTAATAGCTTACGAAGGGGTACACAGTATTTCTCCCATTATTTGGAGTGATTTATATGAAGAGCGTATAACCTAATTTGAAGTAAGCACAGCAGATCAAGCTGCTTAATTTTTATAATTTTACATCATTGTGTTCGAGTATCATATTTAAAAATCCACAAAATAACATTCTGTTGTTCAGAAAAAAATCTATCATTCAGCCTAAATGTAAGAATCCTGGCCAGTACAAAGCCACTAAACGTATGTAGGAATTAACTAAACACATATCAATGGGGCCATGCTATACTAAGGAATAAAGCACTGTCCATCTTTTGTTGGCAAACAGCTTACGCTTGGTCCGCTCACCCACGCCCCCTATCAGAATCAGGCCCAGGACAACGACTCAAGTCTGCTTGTGCATCTCCTGCAATGTTTGCAAATAAAGGCTTGCCCCGAAGGCATGCTTGCCTTACTCCAATACCAGAAAATTACTGCCGAGTCTGCCCAAGGGCAATTTCACATCGATATTCACAATTCACAATGCACATCGATTACGGCTCCCAAATATAACCGCCGTGAGAGGAACCCCTCGCTAATCTGAAGTTGACTGCACCGCGGGCGAGGGCAAACCTCGGGGTGGATCTGATCATTTTTCTTTGTGGAATCTAAGAATGTAATAGATCAAATGGGTTTGCTGTGAAGTCAGCAATCATTGATGTATGGAATACTATCACAAAGGCAGCAGACAGGCCACAAACGTGGGTGGCATGAGCAACGAGAATTTCTCATTAGTAAAATAAAATCCTAAATTATGTGCTTTGATGTTACATGACAAGAGGCCACTGCAGGCCGCACGGGCACATGACCAACATAACTTAGTACATTTGGTATTCCCGCCATTCTTATAGCGCAAGGCTATCACAAAGATGCTATGTTTCACGGACATTCTACAGTCATTTCAATAGGAGGGTATTTTTTGTTTCAAATTTGGACTATGACACCAGCACACAATGGCCATCTATTTTCAAACGTTGCCAATCGATTTTAATACACCAGCAGTATTAACCAGGGTGATCTGCCAGGTTCGAACTGCGAGCCTCATTATTCTGCAATGATATTCAGTAAAAGCCACACTACCCAATGGATGTACTTTTCTTGGTAATCTGCGGATTTTCCCAGGAGCCCAACAACCTTCAAATAGGGAAGAATTTTACACAACGCATAGATATGGCATCACCCGCTCCTCTCAATATGACATCATGTTTCCATAGGTTTTCATTTCTTCCGTTAGATCATATTTGAAGGATTTAGTTAAAATAACGCTGTACGCACGTTTATTTTTCTTAAACGTCGAAATGTAAGCGTGTTAACTCTGATTTTGGCATCACATGAACTACACATAGCAAGTACATTCTAAGATAAATTTCCTTTTTTATTTGCATTCATGACTGCTGTTGTGGAGTTCTCTGCAGCGCTTTCCAAATTATTTTCGTCTCCTGAACGCTGCATAATTCCTGCCATTTGGTTTGCTGCTGAGATGGCTCAAATAAGTTATCTGAGCCTTGGGTATTTTAATGAGCCTTAAGCAGAGACTGGAGACACCCTATGGAGAAAGTTTCGTGTTTTTTTGCTTCAGTAATATTTTTCTTTAGGCCCGATGATGGCTATAAAATACTACCTTCGTGCAAAACTATTGTAAGCGTGTGTTTACTGTGATTGAAAAAACTCTCAAATGTAAGTTATAACCACCATTATCAAAGTTACGTAACATTGTGAATGAATAGGCAAATTAAATGTAGACCCTTATGCCACTTTCAAAAGACACCTATTCTGGAGAGAAAAAAACCTCCTAAAAATGTATAATGTCCCAAGACGGTCTTAGCATTCAACAGAGATGGCCCCACCACACAGAGGAAGGCTAAGGCAACCCATAGGGACCAAGAGATAGAACTCTGGTACATTGAACATGACAGATGCATGGCTGTGACTGATTGTAGGAATTTCTATTTGTGTGCATGCACACAGAGACAACAGAAGAACCTCTTATCATAAACAAACCTTATGGACTTTTCCAGGACTAATGGGAGTACACTGGGCAATATGGTTTTTATTTGGCATCACCACAAAAAGCCAAAAATATATTCTGTCCCACCTCATAAATAACCATAGACGTGGAGGAGGTTTGGGGGGGGGGGGGGATGTGTGCATGTGGGGTGTGATTTGAATTAATATGGAAAAAGGAGTTAAGCATCTAAAAAAAAGAGGAAAGTGCCTCCAAGTCGAACCCCGAATGCTGTGGTAAGTGAAGAGAATGAGAGCCAACGCAATGCAAGGCTGATTGAACAGCAATAAAAAGTAAATGTCTCTTATTAAGCAATGTACAACTACAGACCCTCATGGGGGCCACCACACACACCACCGTTTGGCCAGCGCTACGTGCACTCGCTTTCAATGCAACACCATTTACACATGGGCTCTCTGAGGTGGATTTTTAGAGCAGTGTAGGTTTTATGGGAATATTCATCCATCGATTGCCTCCATTTGAGTCATGTACCATTCAGGCCTCTTGCCACTACCTCTGTTGTAAGAAGCGGCATGCATCAGGGGAAGGTTATTTTTTATTCTTTTTCAATCTCTGTTCAGTACCTGTTGTACATTTACGGTTTCAATGAAAGTCAATTTTTGAAAACAAGCACTGGTCTCTCGTCAATAGTTTAGAACAAAACCAGATGAATGCTCTAACTTAATAGCGGTGGATTTTTTTTCACCAGCCAATGTATACTTTTAGAGATTTGCAGTAAAACATTGTTCTTGCAAACTTATATTGCTGACAATGTTAATCCGCATGTACGTTAGATCTCTTTCGCACATTACGTGGCCAGCCGTGCTAAACGGAGGTGAAAATGTTATGCCAGTAGCGATAAGATTAAAATATTTGTTAACTCTATTAATAGGCGCAGATGCATTTGGAATGCTGCGTGTTCAGATGAGAGTAATTAACAATGATCTGCTTCTTATAGATGTAAACATACTCCAAAACAAAAACAACAATATGACCAAAAACTATCACTGATTTTTTATATATATAATATTTTTTTATTTGTATTTTAAAAAATCCAAATGATGTACTTGTTGATATTTTTGTTTGTAATGCTGAAACAACGCATGAAGGAGTTCAAAAGTAAAAACCGTTGAGTTATACAGCTCGTTGTCAAGGGAAAAGCAATATAACATAACCAACATTAACCACTACAGTGGAAAGTTATCCACAGCACTTTTGCCAAGTTTAAAAAGATATATGGAGATGGATACAGAGGTGCGGATGCACACACACATCAAATGAAAAAAAAAACGCAAAAACTGCTCTCATTTAAACCCCAGCTTCATAGCCACAGACATTCAAACTGCCACTGCAAGAGCTGAAATTGGCACAACAGTTGCATGGCATTTAATCTTTCTGCCCGTGTGGCAGTATGGAATTTTTCTTTGGAGGAGGCGGACGAGGAGGAGGAGCCGGGGGGGGGGGGGGTGGGCAGGAAACGGTGGTCACAGCAGTGGGTAATCAGGAGACTCCTACAGGGAGTGGTGCCGAAATCCACAATTAAACCCCAGTCCATGGCGGGGTCCCTCCGCAACATCCAGATGGCCATCAAAGGAGTTTCATTAATCACGGCTTCGCCGACATCAAAGCACGCGAAAGTAGAGGACATTCAATAAAACATTTTGCTTGTTTCGTTCTAAATCGCTTGCTGCCGATGTGTTCAGGACCTATTCAAAACCATCCTCAGAAAAAATAGAATTAAAAAAATGCAAGCCGATCCAGAATACAAAACATGCCTGAGACTGCCCAACAGGTACAACTGTACAGAATTCTGTTTCAAGAAGTTTTTTTTCTTTCCCAAACGTGATTAATTTGGCGGTGGTGACCAAACAGCGCGTATAATGACCACAAAACTGGGAAGGGAACTGGGGGTAGATGTGAGTACTTACAGCTGGCATTGGTCTCCCTTTATGCCTTTGGTGGTGCAGTAGCATTTGCCCGTTTGCGCGTTGCAGTCCGTGGCATGGTGGTTGCATTTGCACCCTGAGTGGGCCACACACGCACACACAGGCACACACAGACACGTGCACACATAGGCACACACATAAGAAAACAACGCACGTGCACAGCATTAATCAGCATCCGTCCCATCCCTATGCAAAGAGTGGCACACGCTTCGCTGAATGTCATGCTTCCGTTATTAAATTGCTTTGTTAATAATGCGATGGTAACGTTATTATATTTTTGTTCATCCTGCTAATTATGTCGATAGTTTTTTTTATATTTTGCATGCTATATTAAAACAAAAGTCTGCTATCCATATTTACATATTAGCAGCGATAATAATACACGTAACAAGACTAATATAGTTTTGCCTTGCTTTGCCTTCTTGATTGGAAGGGTCGCCCTTTGGTAAACTACCACAAGTGATAATCAAACAGATGCGTATACATTTCAATGTCATGAACGCCAGCTCAAAATGCAATTGTACAGTGTTCATGTAACTTACGTAGATTACATTAAAACGGGGGAATTCAAACACAATGCTGAACATCGCAGTCAACGCGCTTTTTGATACCTTGATAGTGGCAAGCCGGTTGCCCTTTGCTCTATTGTAATTACACAGAGGATAAAACGCTAATATTAGATCATCTCCAAAAATCTTAACACCTCGTTCTATATTTCTCGTGAACATTCAAACCGAGGCACCGCCGTCAAAATGCAAAAGCGGAGGTGCTAGGCAGGTGCTTAATTAAACATTACGCGTCCTCAGGAATGATCCAGTGACGGAATCGTGACAAGGTGTCGGCCACTCCCTGTTCATTACACCGGGGAATTGAATCCTGCTGAAAAGTACAGGTTTGCTCAAAAAGACTTGTTCCAGAAACTGCGTTATGAGTCAAAGCCTCCTTGCTCCCCTTCCCCCTTCCCCCCACCCCCCACCTATTCATTATTGCTCGCTTAAAAGAGGCACTCTTCATGTATAAACGCGACGTGTAATTTTAAAGCCGTCAAAAGGACTCCCAGCGATCTTCACGGTGCAAACAGAAAAGCCGTGGAAGAGACAGACGTGCAGTGCCCCCTAGCTGATGCCATATCTATGCGTTGTGTTAAAACCGTCGTGAAGGAGAGCGTTTGCGTGCAGCGCTTCGTAGCCGTTCTTTGCGCACTTATTTAATGTATTCTCTCTATTCCGTAAGGCGCACCACTGGCCGCTCTCAAGATTAAACCGGCAAACCAAGAGGGCCTTTTGAAGTCAGGGAAGTGAACACAACGGAGTGGGGGTTGGGACAGCTGTGGGAGAAGCGCCCAACTGTGTCGAGCCACGTTTGATCGGGCCACACAGATGGACCCGCCTGGCCGCCCACCCCACCTGTGGCAGCGTCCGCGCAAAGGGGGGCCGCGGCGTCCCACGCAAGCCGAACGAAAAACAAAGCAGGACAGCGGTGGTATTTGTTGTGCAGATGGGGGCCAAATTGCATCTGGCGTGCTACCGAGATTACCGCCGAGATTGAGATTTTCCTATGCGGCTAATCCCGCATTTTGTGTTAATCCATTTTGTATCGATCAGTTTTTCGCGCATCAAGAAGGCACGGTCGATGCATTTCTCGACGAACGTGGGCCGTGTGTGGCGTGTTTGATACCTCGATACTGGGTGGGCGGTCGATGGTTTTTTTTTTTTACGCACGCACCTCGCCATCTTTGACGATATTGCGTAGAAGGGCGCAATTACATTGACACGGGTACAACTCATTACAAACGGTTCAATCTTGGCCTAATATGGGCAAACAAGAGCCTGAAATCAATGAAACCCATAAACTTGAAAGACAAGGCCAATTAAACCTCATCAATTGAGCTGATGGCCCTTTTTTTTACTTTTCATTACGTTAAACCAACTTAGGCAGAGTGACATTCCCGTGGAAAGCAAAAAAAACATTTGATACCTCAATGTTGAAACTATCAGGTGGTGTATGATAGGAAAAAGTTGGGACATTGGCATCTGTACCTATCAAAAAAGTATATTTTGTACAAATGTTGTGTTTATTTAACAAAATACAATAGCAATGTTTAAGAAATATATATTTACATAAATGTACCTACCATATAGGGCATGTTCTTCTACAAGGACATCTCTGAAGGAGGCATTTACTGACAATAGGCAAGAGATGAATGTAAGTGTAACATCTATTATCTCAGTCTTAACATTATTAATTTTATGTATGTCCATAAAATTCCATTTCTTCAATGGGTCGTGGAGTGGGTGAGGTGTGCATGTCTCCAAATGTGGGATTCGTGAGCTCATGTATTCAACCTCATCAACCCCCTAACAAGCTGCGATATACTGTGAAGTCAATCAATTAAAGTAAATTCACTCATCGCCGTGGTCGCCAGAGATGACTTTTTTTCTTCGTACGATATTTGAGCAACACCATATTCTGCAGTCACTGGCCTGGATATTTGGGAGGATGAAATTACCGATCATTTCCAATCAATCGCATATTTGTGCACTGAAACAACAGGAATGTGATTGTAGATTGAGCAACTAACGGTCTTCATTTTATGCAGACACAAAGAGATGCATTCTGGTGGAGGTCGTGAAGCCAGCAGTGGTGTGAGCAAGCAATTTCAGGGATGCGCACCTTTACCATTCTATTCACCACGTGAGAAGTCCGATGCAAATGCAAAAACACCTGCTGCAACCGATAGCATTATTTTCCTTAGAACACCAAAGCAACCTATTTATTATAAGCAATCAACAATCAATTTTTTTTTGTGTTCCACTGGCCTATTTTGTTTCCAATCGCATCAAACCTGGCAAAACAACAAATTCCACGAAATTTAAGTTGGGGATTTAATGCTTTCGAAAAAAAAAAGACTGTTGTCTTTTTTTTGTATTGCGATGCAATGGCACTTTGGATGGCAGATCTATGCCAAATAGATGCTGCGGTTTAAGCAAAAAAATAATAACCGACTTGAATAGTATAACCTCTAAGTATGCACCGTATATATGTGATCTGTTTTCAAATGGGATCTCCTATTCAGAGCCTAATTCACCGGCAGCTGAATTGCGCCTGTGACCAATTGTGCCAAAGGTATTCACAATCGCACGCCTTCGACTCGAAATAAATGTACTGTGGTGACAGGACTGGGAAGAATATATGTTTGAAAATTACGTTTTATCACCGTGTAATTACGTTAGAAATAAATTGCGGAATCCACAATAAAAGCCCTGTAAGTCGCATCTTGTGGCCAACAGCAAAAACTCAAAATGCAGTAGGCTAAAAAAAAAGATAATCATTTCCATTTCGCGTACCTAGGTACAGAATCCACAAAGCACTTTAAAACACGTGTGACAAAACAAAAACGCGGACGTGAAGAGGAGCACATCTTTTTGGAGAGGACTAACTCACGATGACAAGCCAAAAAAGAGTGGGGGAAGAGATTCAGGGCATCACAAAACGAAACCATGGTGAACTTCGCTGGCTGCTGTGCGAACAGGGTTCCACACGGTGGCCATCGAAGGCAAGTAACGATACGGGACGAGAAATAAAATTAAAACCCCAGGGTGAAATCGTCCCGACGACCAGGATTTGAACTGGCGAAAAACCTTACGATTGCGACGAGCCGCTCCCCTCTTAAGGTGGAGCACACGCCTTGGCCACCGGCTCCCCAGCAACGTCTTCATTTTTTACATCGCTGTTCCAGAGTTCCGCCGCTGTTCAGTTCAGTTGAACAGCGGCGGAAATTATTCACCTTTTAGAAGAAGAGTGAGAAACATTCTACTGCGTAATGCATCAATGCCTGGTTGTACTCTTCAAGGTTCGAGAGACTAACATACGCTAATGTGCGACTACGGACTGACAAACCCAATTTCCGTTGTTTGCCTTGTGTAATTTTCTTTTAATTCACGAAAGTATGTACTTGTTGGATTTTATCAGTCCTTTCCGTAACTTTATACACTCTGTACACCCATGTTGGATTCAAATGTGCCGTATAATTCTCCCAATTCTATTGCTAATCTCTAATCCGATTCGCCAATAGCAAATAAGGACCATGAAAATCATAATTTACACAGCACTGCAGGTACACTGGGTATATATTTACATGCGTTAAGAGAAGATTAACAACCAAGAGGACGTAAATATATGGTATACCTTTATTTTAAGAGGTATACTGCATAGAAAACAAAGACAAAGATCTCCAGATAGCCTCTAGCAGACCGTTGAGGAAAGTGCTGTTAGCGAGCACCTATGAAGGCCGGCACGGCGCACGAGGGGTAGGTGGCCAATACCACGCCCGGCCACCTTTGTCTCCTCGGTGCTGACGTTTACACACCGCACCAGGTACTCATTTAAGGCTGAGTAGACCTTGGAGAGGCCCAGGACCAGTTCAGATTTTCTCCACTGTTATTGGTGGCGAGCGCAGGAATCCACGCAGAAAAACCCACGCGCGCACGTGCGTATTTGTAAGCAACCCAGACAAAGGTAAACCATGCATAAATATAACCACAGACGTGTTGCGACACCCAACAAATTTGAACCCCACCTTGAAATGTGAAAATTGGGAAACAGATTGCTCATTTAACAAGATTGATATTGAAAAATCAACACCTGTGACAAAACAGCAGCTTCAGCCCCAAGGTTAGTTAGAATGTGTTCGTTACTCACACTAATTCAATTATTCCTTCATTGTGAGCTCATTCACTTGCTCACCAAGTTCCCCTGGGTGCTGCCAAGTGTCCACGCGACTGGCAACCTCAACAGCCACTTCCAAAAAGCCTGGCCTCGAGATTTGTCCAGAGAGGGGTGTGCGACCGTGTACAGTGATGTATGTTGAACTTCTTTTCGCACCATACATAGCCGACCGTGTTAATCGGAGGTGCGAGGGGAAGGGCAACAAACCAAACACAAAAAGTCGTTCGAAAGAAATGAGTTTTAAATCTAGATTTTGAAAGTGCATAGCTCCAGTGGCTTCCTAATGTCCTAAGAGCGTTCCAGATGGCCGCAGAAGCGCATCTGAGAGCGCGGCACGATGGGGTGCCG